CTTGGGACTCAGGATCAGTTGACTAAGGCATTTGAATAGGGTCCCTTGGTGAGAGGCTGAAGCAAATAGGCATCTGGGGAGGCCCTCAAACCATTCCCACTTTCTGGGTGCTAGGTGTAATCTCTTCACCCTAAAAAGAGTAGAATTAAAGATAATTAAGATTCTCGAACCAAGGACCGTGAGTGTAGATCAATGGTAGAGTCTTGGATTTGATCCCCACAACCACACAAACACACACAAATGCTAGAATCAATTAAGCAGACTTGCATGGACATGGTCTCTGTGCGAGGGTAGTTAGGGTTTGTGAGGATGGCAAGCCCATCTCTGAGGCTCCAGCCATCTCCACTGATGTCACAAGAACTAAAGATAGAAGATGAAGGATGAGAATCTTAGTTGTAATTAGTCTGGGCTTTGCAGGATATGCCCTTATGTTAATGAGCCCTCTGTGGTACAGTGTGGGACAATATTTCTTTCTTTTTTTTTTTTTTTTAACATTTATTTATTTACTTTATGTATATGAGTGCTCTATGGACTTTATGCCAGAAGAGGGCATTAGATCCCACTATGGACGGTTGTGAGACACCATGTGGTTGCTGGGAATTGATCTCAGGACCTCTAGGAAGAGCACCCAGAGCTCTTAACCGCTGAGCCATCTCTCCAGCCCCAATATTACTGATTGCCCAGACAGGCCTCTCCTTAGCTGAGTAGCAGCTATGGAACCTCCTTGAAGTGCTTTGGGGTGGCCCGGGCACCTGGCAAGTGGTCATGAGAAGTGGATGCTATGACTGGCAGGCAAGGCCATTTGCTTGTGTCTCTTGCTTCTTCCATATTTCTCTGACCCATGTTTCAGCTGAATCTGTTAGGATTGACCAATGAATGACTAGGCCATCTATAATTAGTACATTAGGAGCCCCACTAAATTCCTTCTTAGCTCCCACAAAACTGAATGTTTACACACTACTACTCCAGCTGAACTTATCTTTTGTCTTTTCAATAGATTGAAATCTTTGTTGGTCCCCCCCACCCCCAGCTCACCCTCACACCCCAAACTCACTTCGGAAACCACCATTCCCTCAGTCTCTTTACCTGTGATAACACTTGACTGACATCCACAAGCAGGCAGGGGGTGAAGCTCAGGGAAGAACCTTGGCCTAGAATCAGGAAGCCCTAGATTTAATCCCCAGTTTACACAAAACAAGCAATGTGGAGACTCTGGTTCCTGTGGCTTTCTGCAGAACTGGGTGTGCTGTCAGGGGCTCCCCTGACTCAGAGAACTGGAGTGTGATTCCCAGCAGCCACTTCAGTAGCCTCACAACCACCTGTAACTTCATCTTCAGGCCTCTGGCCTCCTCAGGGCATAACCATACGCATACCTGTGATTACACATAAAAATTTTTTTGAAACATTCTTTTTTGTTTTTTTGAGACAGGGTTTCTCTGTGTAGCCTTAGCTGACACGAAACTCACTCTGTAGATAAGACCAGGCTGGCCTTGAACTAACAGAGATCAGCCTGGCTCTACCTCCTGGTTGCTGGATAAAGAAATTTGCCACCACCGCCTGGGAAAATATTCTTGAATTCATTGCTTCCCAGTTACTGACTGTGGATGTAAAATGACCAGCTGGCCTCCTGCTCCAGTTACCAAAGCCATTCCAACCATTGTGGTTTAATCCCCCCAAACTGCACCCTGCCCCCAAATTCCTGGGGCTGGAGAGATTTATCAGTGGTCAAGAACATATTCTTGAGAGGACCCAGGTTCTGTTCCCAGTATCTACAACCATTCCCACTCTAGATGCAGGGGATTTGACCCCCTCTCCTCATCTCACAGATACCAAGAGTGCAGGGGATGTACATAAATACTATATGCATGCAAAATTTCCATACACATTTAAAAAATTCATTTCGCTTGATACCTTTTAGGAAAGGGACAGGCTTGTCTGTATCTAACAGTTTTCATAAGAATAAAAGTAAAACAAATGTGGTTTTCAAGACTTAGAATCTCCTGTCCTCAGGGCAGGAGAGATGGCTCGGTGGTTAAGAGCATTTGACTGCTCTTCCAGAGGTCCTGAGTTCAATTCCCAACAACCTACATGGTGGCTCACAACATCTGTAACGGGATTAGATCCCTTCTTCTGGTGTACATGAAGACAGAGCACTCATATACATAAAATATATAAATAAATATCTAAAAAATCTCCTATCCCCAATGTCGTTCAGTTATGCCAGAGCCCAGCAGAAAGCAGACAAGCAGACATCTATAACGTAAGAAAAACCAGCATGGTTCTGAGGAGATACCTAAATATGGAGAAGCCTAATAGTGCATGCCTATAATTCTAAGCATACACTTGAAGGACTCTAGGCCAGCACACCAATGACAGTTGTATATCCATGTCTATCCATGTATATCCAAAAACCAAGATAGAGGAAAAAGCCTGTGCTCATTAGCAAATGGGTAAGAAAATGTGGTATACACACAAAACATATGTTTTCATGTTTATAGATATTTAAGTTGCATGCATGTCTGTATACATGCATTCAGCAGACTGCAGAAGCCAGACATTCTGGAACTTCAGTTATGAATGACTGTGAGATGCCATGTGGGTGGTGGGATTGAATCTGGGCCCTGTTAGGGAAGCCAGTGCTGTTAACCTCCCAACCATTTCTTCACTGGAGTTTCCTTAAGCTACACATGATGCATTTTTAAGGTATAAAGAAAGCAATTACATCAGGGGATGATGGCACAGGTTTTTAATTCTAACCTTGAGCAGAGGCAGGAGCAGGGAGATCTCTGTGGATATGAGGCCTGCCTGGTCTACATGGTGAGTTCCAGGACAGCCAGGGCTACATACTGAAACCATTTCAAAACAAACAAAAAACCACCATCACATTCATTTCTAGAGAAACGAACAGAATTAGAATCAAGTGGAATAAGCCACACTAACCTCAGACTCTTCTGCACAATGAAGAACGAGCAACCTAACCTCAGACTCTTCTGCACAATGAAGAACGAGCAATCTGTGTGCGTACACATACATCAGAGATGTTAACGGAAGTCAGAGGGCTACTTGGAGAAGGGAGGCAAGCAGCAGGGAGAGGGTGAGGGGGCTGTAGGGGTAGTGCAAAGGTCACACAAATCAAACCCACTGTTTCAGCACACATCAGGTCATGAGTTTTGTCTCCAACATTACACACACACACACACACACAAAATTAAAAAGCTACCTCCGCCAGTGTGGCACTTCCTGTCAGGGTAGGGTTTTGAAGAGGAGCAATCAGCCACAGGTTTAGTAATCAGTACTGGGCAAAATTCCACTGGCTAACATTCTGTCTTCCCTAGCCGTTGGTTTGGCTAATTTACACCTATGTAGTGTTTGTGCATGTATAGTGTGCACACACAGCAGGCAGTGTGAGCACATAGGGCAGTTCACAAGCGCTGGTTCTCCCTCTTACATGTGGGTTCCAGGGATGGAATGCGGATTGTCAGACTTGGCAACAAAGTTTCCATATCGGGCATCTCACCAGTGCTGTGGCTTTTTGGGACAGGGTCTGGCTCACTATGTATCCTTGGCTGGCCTCGAACTCAAAAGTGTATGCACTCATGGGCACCATGTCACATGCTAGGTTTCTCTAAAGAAAAACCCCATGCTGCTCTGGTTGGCCTTGAACTCTTGACTCTGGAAGTCGGCCTCAAGTGTTGGCAACACAGTAGATTTAAGGCCAGCCTGGGTTACATCACACTGTGGCTCACAAACCAACCAAAGAATATTGACCCCACTAGGTGAAAGCAAGACAGAGAGGAGACCACTAGAGGTAAAGCTGGTGTTTTTATTCCACTTAAACTAGTCAAACAGGTATTGGCTTGTCATGGTACAGTCAAATGTAAACATCTTTGTACAGATATTAACAGCGGTATTCATGGTGAAACCTCAAAGGTGGAGGGAATCAAAGCACGTTTAACAGGTAAAGTCTCCTAACTGCTAACACGGAAGTCCTCCTTCAATCAAAGCTTTAGTTTTATTTTGTTGAGACAGTCTTGCTAGTTGCCTGTAGTCTAGGCCAGTTTTGACTGACTGTGTTCCATATCTAACCTCAAACTTGTGATCTTTTCCTCATCCTCTAGAGTGACCCTCACATATGAACCAATATTTATACTTTTCACACTTTTAGATTCTGCATCCTAAAGATATCGCCAAAATGTTTGTGTAATAGCAAGTTATTGAAACCCCCTTCACCAGACTCCAGTTAAACCCAGATCTCAAATCGACACACCTTGTACACTAAGACCCAAGCAAGCGTCTAAGGAAAAGGCAAGCCAGGATTGGGGTGGGTTAAGCGTGTGAGTATGTGGGGGAGGGAAGAGAAGGGGGGGTATAATAGTCCAGTGTCTTCAAAGCCCTTGGGTTAATCTCCAGCACAACACTAAAGAAAAAGTCACAGCTGGGCTGCATGGTGCACGCCTTTAATCCCAGCACTCGGGAGACAGAGGAAGGGGGAGGGGGATCTCTGTGAGTTCCAGGCCAGCCTGGTCTACAAAGCTACAGAGAAACCCTGTCTGGAAAATGTCCTAGATTTGCTCTCTGGCACCAAGACTATAAAATATAAAATTCTTTGAAAGAAGCCTAGTGTGAGCTGGGCGTTGGTAGCACACACCTTTAATCCCAGCACTAGAGAGGCAGAGGCCGGTGAATCTTTGTGAGTCCAAGTCTAGCCTGGTCTACAGAGCTAGTTCCAGAACAGGCTCCAAAGCAATACAGAGAAACCCTGTCTCGAAAAACAAAAACAACCCCCCCCCCTCCCAGAAGGAGGAGGAGAAGGAGGAGAAGAAGAAGCAGCCTAGTGTGGTGTCAGAGTGATCTCCAAGTATGAGGCCAGCGCCATCTACAGAGTGAGTTCCAGGACAGCCAAGGACACACAGACAAACCCTGTCTTGGAAAACCAAAAATCTTTGAAAGAAGGAAGAAATCTAGCCACTGCCCTGACTTTAAACTGGGTTGTCTGCTCCTCACATTTCCCCTGGCATATTCATAGAGTAGTTCAGGAGTAATTCCAAGCCTTGCGGGGTGCTAAGATACGAATGGCCTTCCCCAGCGGCTTCCGAACTCAACCCAATATCACTGGCAAGGAGGCTTTGCTGGCACTGCATGAAAGACTGCGGAGAATCCTCCCCAAAGGAGGTGTTCCAAGCCTGATTGTTCCAGGCTTGAGAACACCAGGGCTGGTTGGTCCAGACCTGGTTGCTCCAAGTTGGATTGGTCCAGGCCTGGTTGCTCCAAGCAGAGTTAGGCCAGGTCTGGTTGCTCCATGCCTGTTTGCTCCAAGTTGGGTTGGTCCAGGTCTGGTTGCTCCAAGTGTTGGTCCAAGTCTGGCTGCCCCACACTGGAAGGCTTTCAGATGTGTTCAGACAGCCCTGTGGATAGCCGGGATGGAGGCTGGGGTACTCCACAAATGCAGAGCCCTTCTGAAAGAGGTGGTGAACTCAGTCAGTGAAAAAGGAAATCTAAAAGATCACCCCTCCAATCGCAGCACTCCTGACACAGGCAGGGTGATGCTGAGTATATGAGGGGGAGGAGGGGGATGGGAAGGCAGCGGAACTGTGGAACACAGGTGGGCGCAACAGGATGGGCGGGGCGCAGGGGTTCAGAACCACTGGCTGCTTTCCAGGGAACTCGGGCTCCACTTCAAGCTCCCAAAACCCAAGGCTGGTTACAAAGAGATGGTCCAGCCACACATAAAATAAGACAGGGCAAAAACAAAAAAACAAAAAAAAAAAAGCAGGGGGGGAGTTTGTAAAGTTGTAAAGTGTCCCTTTACCTGAGTCATACTGTTGTTTGTCTTTGGCCACTGGTTTTTCTGCCACCGCTTACATTTCATTCTCTGATTTTGGAACCAGGTCTTAACCTGCAAAGAGTGTTAAGATGTGAAGACAAGAATACTGACTACTCTTCCAGAGGTTGTGGGTTCAATTCCCAGCACCCACCTGATGGCTCTCAACCACCTTTAACTCTGGTCCCAAGGAACCTAATGCCCTCTTCTGGCCTCCGGGGAGCACTGCACACATGATACCCAGACACACATGCAAGCAAAAGCCCATATACATAATAGACATGCAGATGAACCCTGCTTCATACATTTTTAAAAAATGTTTATTGTAATTACTATTATTATTAGCATAGGAGGGGACACAGGGAGAACTGAGAACAAATTTCAAGTTGCTTTCTTTTTTTGAGGGCAGAGGAGGGAATAGTACTAGATCCCAGGGCCTTGCATGAACCTCATTTTTCTGTGTTAGATCTGCCTATCTCTGCTTCCCTGAGTGGCTGGGTTAAAGGCATGCACCACCACCTCCTGGCTTTTTTCTGTGGTCTTCTTCCTTCCTTTTTTTCTTTCTGAGGCAGGGTTTTTGTGTAGCTTTGTAGACCAGGCTGGCCTGGAACTCACAGAGATCCACCTTCCTCTGCCTCTGGAGTGTTGGGATTAAAGACATGCACCACTATAGACCAAGAACTTCGACTCTCTCAAATATGCATCTCTTCAGATTGTGTCTCGCATACTCAAGAGATCTAGCTTGAACTTCTCAACACCGGCACAATTTTAGTGCATGTGACATGAAAAGAGCATCTCATTTTTGCTTTGTTTTTGGTTCTTTGACACAGGGTTTCTCTGTAGCTTTGGAGCCTGTCCTGGAACTAGTGCTGTAGATCATCAGGCTGGTCTCGAACTCACAGAGATCCACCTGCCTCTGCCTCTCGAGTGCTGGGACTAAAGGCGTGCACCACCAATGCCCAGCTAACACCTCATTTTTAAAAAATAGCATTTCATGTAGCCCCAGGTGGCCTTGAACTCTGGATGGATGGATGGAACTCCTTATTCTCTCATCTGTCCCCCCAAATGCTGAGATGTGCCATCAGGCCTGGTTCAAAGTAAAATAAAAAAAGTTGGGCGTGGTGAGAATAGCTTCAATCTGAGCACCAGGGAGGCTGGGGCATGCAGGCAGACAAGTGTGAGTTTGATCTACATAACTAAGTTCCAGACCAGTCCAGGCTTCATGGTGAGACTGTGACTTGGGAGTTGGTGGCGAATGTGTGTGAATGAACTAGAAGATAAACTGATAGGACTAAGGTGGACAATATGTGAATCGCATGAGCTACATAATTTTGTGATGTGTAATGTGAGAAAGGATAGACCTCAGAGAGGCGTCCAGATGATAACTCCATTCATCCGCAAGCCAGCAAAGAAAACCCTACCTGCTTATAACTAAGGTTCAGAATGGCAGAGAGTTCTTGCATCTGCTGGAGGCTGAGGTACTTTTGCTTCTGAAATCTGTCCCTCAGTGCACACAGCTGGGTGTCAGAGAACACAGTTCTGATTTTCTGCTTCTTTGCGTGGACCTTGTCCTGTCCCTTCTTCTCAGGGCCCTCTTCAGGCTCAGGACTGGGGAGCTTTAGTTTGGGACTGGTTGAAGAATCAGGGCTGTCCTGAAGAAGTAGTTCCACAGAGGAAGGGCAAGGACAGGCTGTTAGGAAGAAGCAAATAATTTGTTAATAAAACTGGCAGCTAGGCACTGTGGAGCAGGCCTTTAAACCCAGCCCTTGGGGGCAGAGGCAGGCGGATCTGAGTTCTAGGCCAGGCGGGTCTACCGAGCAAGATCCAGGACAGACAAGGCGACACAGAGAAACCCTGTCTCAAAAAAGAAAAAAAAAATTTCCCAGATACTTAAATATTAGATTTAATATACTTACTTTCTAAGTAGTTGTCTTTATAGCCCTACATCTAAATAAAAAATAAAACCCAATTATCAAATACTTTGTCACCCCCGAATAACAGTGTGCTATCATTCCAGAGGTTTTAAGTTATGTTTATTAAATTATACATTTAGACTCTGGAAATCCAAAACCAAAAAAAAAAAAAAAAAAAACTAAGAAATGTTCGGCTCAAAGGCAGGATGGCGAGGAAGTATATGGAGAAGGAAGCTTGAACCTATAGCCCTTTCAATTCCTGCTCCCTTCTGATTGGGACAGTGACCTCGCGTGCAGCATCAGGGTCTGGCAGTGAGTGAGGAGGACCCTGCCTCAGACGCTGGGGTGGGAGAGAAGTGGGCTGAAAGAAATGGCTCAGCAATTAGGAGCAATGGCTGCTCTCCCAGGGGACAAGGGTTCAATTCCCAGCACCCACATGGCAGCTCACAACTGTTTCTAACTCCAGATGCAGAGGATCTGACAACCTCATGCAGACATACACCCAGGCAAAACACCAATGCACATAAACAAACCTTTAAATAAACACATAGCAAAAGTGCTTAGTACGGAGAGCCTAGCACCTATTACTGTGCCTGTTTTTTTTTCTCTCTTTCCTGCACTGTGGATTCTCCTACTTCTGAGTACAAGTTTATAAGCCCAGGCATCAGGTTCTGGGGACTTTTATCTCCCCTAGATTTCTGCATGGTACTTCGAGTCAATCCCTGTTGAGACCTTTCATGTTCTACCACTGAGTCAACCCTGGCCCAGTCAAGCAACAGCAAGCATATGTGAACTAACGTGTATGAATGAAAATGTCCTAAAGAAACCCACTGTACTGCTATCTAAGGAACCTTCCAGGGTTAAATGAATCACTTGTCTTTAGCAATGCATAGCCCCCAATATTAAAAAAAAAAGAATAGGCCTATTTCTAAATGGTACTGTGGTCCATTCCGCTGGTACTAACCGTTCCGTTCTGCTGGGACAAAAGCAATCAGAGTCATTACTAGGGCAAAATTACAATTAGCTGATTTTGTTTCTCATCCTCGATCCTCTAGCTCTTCAGTTCAGTTTTGGTTTTATTTTATTAAGACAAAATCCCCAATAACCCTGCCTCAATGCTAGGTAGGTTTTTAGCTGTGTGCCACAATGCCAGACATTTTGTTGCTCTTCTGAGATGTAAAGGGCTGGGCCCAGAACCTCAGGCAAGAGAGAAGAGCTGCACTACCCAGCTTTGCCCCACCCAGTACTACAAGTTTCGCCCGCACATTCCCTAGTTACAGCACGGTGGAGGAAGGAAGACATGATACTCAACACCTCATCACTCTGCAGTTTCAGAGTGGACCAGCCTTAAAACAGCCTCTAAATAGGAAGCTCTTGGACAGGCACAGAACACACAAATCTGTACCTCACTTGCAAAGGACGTCCTACCCGCTCATTCCCAGCCACATCAAAATCAAGCTTGGAAATGGGATACTTACTACACTGAAATAAAAGGCAAACACAGTGGTCATCGGGATGGGTGTGCTGCTGTGGCACAGCCTGCAAGCATCTTCACACACACACACACACGCACACACACACGTGTGCGCGCGCGCGCACACACACACACGCACGCACACACTTTAGCAGCACTGGGCTGAGTCTGCAGTCAAATGAATTTCAGGCCTTGACCCCTGCAGCTAGCCTAGCTATCTGGAACTATCTTATGTAAGCTAAGCGAATACTCGTTTAGGGTTTAGGAGGCACACTCACCAGTTCAAGGCTGCTAAGTGACAACCACATTCCGAAAGGCTGAGAGAAAAGCCAACCGCGTCTTCGGGAGAAAGAACCTTTCGGATAACACTGCAAACTAACTGTATAACCTCACTGAAAATCGGGTACTCTGAATTGGGGTGTTCGGTCTCCCAGCTACTGTCCGTTCCGCACCTGGAACACCACCCATGACACCTGGATTCGAGGGTTGTGTTAAGATGAGTGTCACCCCGACTGCTGTAACAAATGTGTTTCTAAAGAGCCTGAAACATTAGGTCCTCAAATTCACACAACAGCCTCTGATTGCCCCACTGGGTGTCCCTGAACTCGACTACAGCTGCAGACTAGACAGTGACACAGGAGTCACTAGCAAAACCTCAGAAAGTTGGTCCGGAAGGTTGGTAATGACACCTGCTTATGAACTATAATTCATAAAGAGGCGATAACCCCTCACCCTGTTCCTTCCTTCCCTTCCCCTAACTAATTCAGTTCTTCGGGGATTGAATTTCTTACCGGTCTCTTTTCCAAGCAGCTCAGCGGAAGACTCTTGTAAGCAAGAATAAATTTCCTCAGGACCATGAACTTCAGGCACTGGTGAGGAGTCCCCAAAATTTGGTACTTCTGCTTCATGGTAACAGGGAAGACTGTGGTGACCAGTGGGATCCACGCTCATGTCAGTCACAAGTCAGTCGGGGCAAAATAAAAAAGAATCAGGAACTTAAAAAAAAAAAAAAAAAAAAAAAAAAAGGGGGGTCAGAATGAAAGGGCCCTCAGTCCTCCCAGGAACAGAGAGACCAGTGCAGCCTTGCTGGAGGCCTTGCTCGGCACTAGGTCTAATGTCCTGGCTTGCTCCTCCCCCCTCCACTCCCCTTCTGCCCCCCACCCCCATCCTCCTGCTCGCCACCCCAGCACCCACGCCCCATCATCCTTGCGAATTCACAGTTAATCCCACCTGCCAGGCCCACCACGGGCATTGTAATGCAAAGTGACCCAGACTGAGGCGGGAAGAAAAAAGGATGGGGGCACCGAACCTGGAGACTCACAACAAATTTGGCTTCTTATTTGTGACTTTACCTTGTTTCACGTTAAACCTCCGAACCCTGGGTGTCTGCAGTGGGGTTGTGTCCTCTTCCACTCTCCCAACGGACACAATAAAAAACACTCAATCCGAGCTCGCTGTCGAAGTCTCTGTTTAAGCGGAGAGCTCCTTTCCAGGATTTCACCTGGGCCCTTCATAGGCGAGTCTTTCTACTTCAAAAATGCCTTGTTTTAGCAAAAGTCTGAAGGAAGGACCTGTGACCTGCTAAGACTCTTGGGCCCTTTAGTAAGCAGGTCTGTATCTTTAACATGTCAACGTAGGTTTTGTTTTTCAGATAGGGTCTTACTAGCGTTGGGTAAGACGAACTCAATATTTAGACCAGGATGGTCTCAAACTCACAAAGATCTGATTGCCTCTGCCTCACAACTGCTGGTGTTGCCTCTGCCTCACAACTGCTGGTGTTGGAAGTATGCCAACCACTATGTCTAACTTGAGGTTTTGTTGGTTTTTTTTTGTTTGTTTGCTTTTCAAGACAGGGTTTCTCTGCAGCTTTAGGAGCCTGTTCTGGAATTGGCTCTGTAGACCAGGTAGATCACCAGATCACCGGTCTGGCCTCAAACTCCCTGATATCACCTGCCTCTGTGCACCACCACCTGGCTACTTGAGTTTTTGAATTAATTTGGGGTTTTTTGGGTTGTGTTGAGACAAATTCTCACTGTAGCCTACTGGCTTGTGACTTATTGCAATCATCCTGCCTCAGCGTCCTAAGCTACAAAATAAGGATTTATTTTATCTTGAATTTGGTTTTGGTTGTTTCATTGAGATAGAATTTCATGTAGCCCAGGCTGGCCAAATACTCACTATATTGCTCATGCTGGCCTTGAACTCTCGATCTTCCTTATTTCACCTCAAGTTGGAGGCTTGCCTAGTGCAGCCATGCTTGCTGATAAGTGCTTTTTATATAAGTGACAGAGTGAGTAAGTTCTAGCCTAGCTTGTTAAGTCTGTTTCTGTGTGTGTAAACAGAGAGGGACCAACCTGCCTTGTATTTTAGGAGTTACACAAGAGAAAATTCTATATTTTCATAACATCTATCATGTCAAGACTATCTACCACAGTGGGAATTAGTTGAGAGATTCTATGTAAATTTTGTGCTGCAAAACACTAAGTTTGAATAACTTTGTTTTGAGATTTTTTAAAATTTTGTTTTTGTTTTTGGAGACAGGATTTCTCTGTATTGCTTTGAAGCCTGTCCTGAAATTAGTCTGTAGATCAGGCTGACCTCGAATTCACAGAGATCTGCCTGCCTCTGCCTCTCGAGGGCTGGGATCGAAGGCATGTGCCACCAACACCCGGCATGAGATTTTTTAAACATTAATCTGGTGAGCAACATGATAAAATTAAAAGCAGCCATTTTTCATTTGGAGACTACTAGACATAAACTAATGCAGCTGGTTGCCCTCTATCCAAACCCAACTGGAGAAAGATGAGAAATGACATTGTAATTACACCCTTTTCCCTCCTGGTCTTCAGATTTACTATTTTAACACCATCCTTTTTCCTCCACTTACTATTATGGGTGAATAAAATTTTAAAAATAAACAACACTTTTAGAATTGTATGTGTATTCTAAAAGTGTGTGTGTGTGTGTGTGTGTGTGTGTCCTGGAACTCACTTGGTAGACCAGGCTGGCTGATGTGTTTCTTCCTCTGCCTTCCAAGAGCTGGGATATAGGATAGTGTCTTCACACTTAAATTGTCTTTTTAATTTTTTTTAAAGACAGAGTCTCCTGGGCCATGGTGGCCCATCCCTTTAATTCCAGAACTTGGGAAGCAGAGACAGACAGATCTCTGTGAGTCTGAGACCAGCCTGGTCTACAGAGCTAGTTCCAGGATAGCCAAGGATGTTATACAGTAAAACCTTGTCTCAGAAAAACCACAAAGAAAAAGAAATGAAAATCAAAAAACCAACCCCAAAACTGACAGTCTTTCTGTGCATCCCTGGCTGTCTGTCTGGGAATTCACAGGGATCCCTCCATCTCTGTCCAAGAAGAGATCAAAGATGTGTACCACCACCCTGGTTTGCAACATTTTTCTTCAGTTTCACTTGTTAGTGTGTGTGTGTGTGTGTGAGTGAGTGTGTGTGTGTGTGTGAGAGAGAGAGAGAGCAGGTGTTGAAGAGCCACTGTGGGTTCAAGCTTTGGGGTTACACAGCAAGTACTTTTACCTGCTGAGCTGTCTGCCCATCAAGCCTCAGGAGAGGCCTGGGGATCCCTGTGTAAGTTCAAAGCCCAGTGGTCTTTTTGATGAGATGCTATCTAAAAAACAGGAACCAAACAAGAACAAATAAGCCTAAGATACTGAGTTCCATCACTAATGTATGTAAGAACAAGACAGTCTGCGGTAGCTTTTCTTTTCTTTCTCATTTCTAAGGTTACATCTTCTTTATCAATTTCACTATGTAATACAAACTTTTAGCAAATCCCAGTTACATAATTTTTTAAATAACCACTTATTCTTCTTTTTTTTCCGGGGGGGGGGGGAGATAGCTGTATAGCCCAGCACCCTCCCATCACTGGGTTATGGGGCCCTCTACCCAAGCTGCTCACTCTGCTCCCACAAAAGCTGACTTCAGTTTACAATGCAAACAAAGCTGTCACCAGGTAAGGGTAGGAGTGTCCAGAGGTAAAGAGCAACTTTGTCTTCTCAGACATTCCTCCCAGAGGGAAGCTATAAGAATGACTAGGAGGAGTCCAGAGAACTGGCTATTTCAAGTTCAAAGCCGGTTCTCACTTCCAGGGCGTTGGTGGAGCACGCCTTTAATCCCAGCACTCCAGAGGCAGAGACGGAGTTCGAGGCCAGCCTGGTCTACAAAGCTAATTCCAGGCTCCAAAGCAATACAAAAAAAAAAAAAAAAAAAAAAAGGAAAAGAAAAAGAAAATGTCAGTCCTGCCTCGGGGCCCATGGGGTCAAGGTCACCAAATCCTGCAAAGGCTTGGTGCTAAAACCACAGCTCCTTGCAGAAAGGGTCTTTGCATAGGGCCTTTGATGAATCACTCCCTAGTCCCCATCCCTGTCTGCCCCTTTGTGTCCAGGGTGAGAGTGTCTGGGGTGGAAGAAGAGGCAGGCAGGCAGGCTGTGTTCCTTACCCAGAGGTGCAATGAGGTGGAGACTGTCTTGAAGCCTTGACTTGGCTGGGATGGGAGGTGTGGATGGAGGAGGGGTATGATAAGTGAGTTCACAGTGTGGTAAAGCACAATCAAAAGAGAAGAAATGAGCATAATGTTGTATGGTGAGTAGGATGTGCAGGGTCTGGGTCCAAGCAGGTGGGGCAGGCAAAGGAGAGAGATAGAAAGCCTGGAGTCCTTTGGGTGTGCAGGCAGAAGAGCAATGCCCGGAAACCTCCCGGGAAGGGGGTTCCAGCGAGTTAACCTCAGAATAGCTAGCACATCGGGGACCTGGGAATGTAGTTCAGTTGCTAGAGTACTTGCCTTGCATGTGTAAGGGCCGGGTTCCATCCCCATCACTGCATACCGCACACAGTACTGGGTTTGAAACCTGCCCTGGAACTCACTCTGTAGACAGGCTGGCTTGAACTCAGAGATCCACCTGCTTCTGCTGGGATTAAAGGTGTGCGCCACCACCTCCAGGCAAGAAGAGGCTCTGTTACACCAGCAGCCTCTTCTGTGTTAGAGAAAAGCTCACTGTTGCACACCTGACTACTAAGACTAACTGATGCTGGGGACCAGGAATCTGTCTGTGTTCCAGAACTTTTCAAGGTTTCACTGTGTAGCTCTTCTGGAACTCGTTCTTTGACCATGCTGGCCTTGAACTCACAGAACTCTGCCTGCCTCTGCCTCCTGAGTGCTGCTGGCTACTACCGACTGGTTGTAGTTTTTCTCGAAGCAGGATGTGGCAGTTCAGAGCTGTAACCTCAACCCTTGAAAATTGTAGCCAGGGTAGGTGCTGAGATTTTGTCTCAATAAATCAACTTTCTCTCTCTCTCTCTCTCTCTCTCTCTCTCTCACACACACACACACACACACACACACACACACACACACCTCAACCATAGGCTATATGGGCTTTCTTCACATTTTTACTTGCTATTGTTTGAGAACTGTTATTCTAGAACAAAAAAAAACAAGGCATAAAAGTTGATACTTAACATGTTGTTAACAGAAGGAGAGCCAAGGCTCTGTGTGCAAATGAGGGTGGGAGCCAGGCTCTCACACTTCAGAGCCCTGTGTTTTAAACCTTCAGGGCCTTTTATTAGGTTTGAAAGAGGAAAACAACAGTGCTGGCTAGTGAGCTGTAAATCATGGGAGCTGCTGGAGGGGAGAGAGATAAGGGGGAGATGGCAAAGTCAGGGGTGTCTGCAGAAGCGCTTGGAGCCTTTAGATACAAAGCAAGAGCAAAACAGGCTTTTTGAATTGGAACTTAGAAAATTGGTCAGGGTTAGCAGTAAGGACTTAATGTGGAAGCTACAGTGTAGATCAAGGGAGCCTCGAACTCACAGAGCTCTGTGTCTGCTTCTGCCTCCTGAGTGCTGGGAATTGTTCTTATTAATGCATGCCCAGCATTGTTATTATTAATGTATACATTTTTGTCTACACATATGACTGTGTACCAATGTGAC